TAACAAAGGTGTCATCTACATACCAGATCCATACTTTTGGTTGTATGCGTGGAAGTGCTATCGTTTCTAGGCGTTGCATTACAATCTCTGCTATGAGTTCTGAGAATGTGATCTCTCTGATGAAGGGAAACAATTCAGTTGCCAGAATTCCTGTAGCCTCTTTCCTTTCTTCTCTATAATTCCTGTTAAGAAGGACCTGTGAGAATCAAGCTTGAAAAGAGTAACTTCTGTTTTCACCACTGGCTATTTTTCCATTGGATAGAAAGTAAGTGTCCATATTCTTAGATGGGAACAGGCTTATCAATAATTGGAATACTTGGAAATTTTAGAAATCAGGAAAGTACTCAGATTCAGGACGGTGATTTCGAGAAAACCTGGAGGAAGTTGATGCAGTCAAATTTCTTTAGTACTGAATGGGAAATCTTTGAATAGCAAGGATGCTTATTCATTTCCTCTTTTACTTAATTACAAAAAAGAAAGAGAATGAAAAAACTTATTTATGTATCTGGGACTATGATTTCAATCAGCAAGTAACACAATTGATACCCTTGCCTCAGGGCCAGATTAAGGCCAACTGATGCTTTAAACACAGCCAAAAAATGATGTCCCTTAACAAAAGCGAAACTCTCACTCCATGAGATGGAAACAAATATAATTATCTGACAAAACCTTCAAACCAAACTTTTAAATTTTAGTCACTCACTAAACATGGCAGGTAAGGACAATTCCAAAAAAAACAACTAAAGTCAAGTGTGGCAGTGAAAGAGTTAACGGCATGATAGCTACGGGGGGGAAATTCTGTGGTGCCCCCTCCCCTGGGGGCCCTGAACATGTCCTTATTTTCTCAATGGTTAATCCAGGGTTGCCTTGCCCTTATTGTCAACCCACATTGTTGTATGAAGGGATAAGAATGCCTGATAATACTATTTTCTTTACTGTTCTATTTCTGAGTTAATACAAGGTATTGAATGACTAGGTATGATTAAATGTATGCACTGGGTTTCTACTCCTTTCTCCAAAACTGGCCTGATATATTTCATCAGAAGTTATTTCTTCCGCCTGATATTTTGCCTATTGTCAAGACAGACCAGACCATGTGGATTTCCTCTTGAACTCTCTCCTCTTACTGGCAATCTGGCCACTAGCAATATACTGTAATTAGTCCAGATTGCATAGTCCATAATTGCAACAATAGTGCAAAATTCTCACTAATAGCTGGTATCTCTTATGTCTGTGCCTTTTTGCAACTCCATCTTAGACACTAAACCCACTGTGACTTCATCTTAGACCCAAAAGCTATTGCCTGGACAACAGTTTAAAACAGGAAGTGAAAGTCACCCCATTTAACTTCCACATACGCAGTCTTCCTTCTACAAATCTACAAATTGCAGCAGTGGCACTATCTGTAAAAAGAGAGATGGAGCCTGTTTCCTTCCACCGTTATATAAGTGACCTGAATCTCCATTCCCTCCCTCGAGTAGTGAAGGTCTCTTCGGGAGTCTACTTCCAAGGTGAGTCCTGTAACAGTTTCTTGCTTGCTATGATCAGAGTCATTCTGCTAGGAAGAGATGAGGATGAAAAATTGAGTTTTCATGCTGAAAAGTTTCAGCATGAGGCAATGCTAACTTGGGCACAGTCTTTACAAGCTGGCAACTGAAATCTTGGTGCAGAACCTTTGTAATACATTAGTGCTTTGAGGAAGAGTTGACCGTTATCTTGGAGTGTTGACTTGTTCTACAATGGATCTTCCAAAAGTTCAAAGGTATAAAATATGTGCCAGTTGCTGGGAAGCATCAACAGAGAAGGGTACTGCCCCATGCCAAGCATGAAGCCTTCTCAAAACCACTTAGTTGATCACTTGGTGGGAGAAGGTGCTTAGGCAAAGATCCTAGGTCTATTTAGCAGTATTCTTATATTTTTAAGTAGCTTAAGTAATGCTACTGACAGCCATGAGGACTGTGGTCCATGGCCAAGCATTTGCAGATCCCAGTGATTGGAAGGATGAAAACAAAGTCAACTGTTGGAGGACTGAGATGGGGAAGAAAAAAAAAGGATGAAATTGCAGTTTGCTCAGGGCACCACTGTAGCTGCAAAATATTATAATAAATATTATAATGAAATTGGTATCTACATACCTGTAGTCATATATGCCATCACACTAATCTCTTTCATGGTAAGCAACAATATGCAAAGGAAAGAAACAGTAAAAAGAAATTAAAGGGAGGAGATAAAAAAGGAAATATAGCTAAATCTAGTTTACACACCCTTCTACTCTTCTGTCCTTGCAAACCATTCTTCTCTCTACTACATCCATACACTACCTCATATATTGCTTTTTCTTCTTTCAACTCTCACTTCTTTCAGGATCCCATCAACTCCATCCATGAATTTTTCAATCTTTCTGTCAACCCATTAATTCTTCCTTCATATATTTGTTATATGATTCAACCTTATTCATTCCCTTTGTAAATAACAGGAAATCATACTTCACGATATATATCTTTTAGCACTTTCATTCATAATTAAACCTACACCTTTACTTCCCTTCATGTATTCATCAACTCCACCTACGTAGTGGCATATGGAATAAGCCCAGAATAGTGTAGAGACCAGATGTGCTTTCAGAAGCTTGCCCTGAAGCTTTGCGGAAGGAGAACTAACGTTTACAGAAAGTGAAAATTGGAAAGCAAATACAGCGTGTAATCCATCACATACTTCAGTATTCATGAATGATTTATACTTCATAGGGTTATGACTTAGATGTCAGGCATTATGGGCCTTTCAGTATATGTGGCTGGAATAAAAATATGTTTGACTAAATGGATGAAGGAAGCAGGGGAAAAAAAAAAATCAGAAAAGAAATCTCAGGGGGAGGGCAGCCCACTAATTAAAACTAAAGGCTGTAAACATGAGATTCTAATATTATATTATGTTAACTGGTTCTCAGTTCCTTCCTGGCATGTTTCAAAGCTGATACTAATCTGTCAACCCTTTAATGGTTTGGGATAATACGTTCCTTATCCAAATACTAAAATGATCTTTTGAAGTCTGCTTAAGATACCCTCCTATTCTGAGATATAACTGCTCAGGCCTTCTCAGTGGTGGACTACAGCATTGAAGTATCTGCCCAAATAAAGCATATTTGGTGCTTACTTTATTTCTTTGGCCCTCAGTTGAATTTGAATGAGAATTGGCACTTTCCTTTGTGTTGCAGGTAGTCCTCGCTTAATGACTGCCCTGTTTAGCAATCATTCAAAGTTACAATGGTGCTGAAAAAGTAACTTTACAACCAGTTCTCACAATTACAACCGTCGTGTCCCAGCGGTCACATGATTGAGATTCGGGTGCTTTGCAGCTGGCAGTTGTTTATGACCGTTGCAGCATCCTGCAGTCATATGATCACCATCTGCACACGTCAGCTTCCAACAAACAGAGTCAATGGAGAAGCCAGCAGTAAAATTGCAAGTCACAGTCATGTGATGTCTTGCTTAGTGACTGTGTGATTCATGTAACGACCACAGTGGAAGTGAGGTCATAAGTCTATTGTGGTCATGTCTCACTTAACAACTGTGTTGCTTAGCGATGGAGTTGCTGGTCCCAATTGTGGTAATTAAGTGAGGACTACCTGTATTTAAATAACAACAGGTTATGGGTTTAGAATATTTTCCCCCATTGATCAGCACTTTGCGTTATTAAATTGCAATCTTGCCCACATTTATTTAAGAGGAAAAAAAATATCTTTGAACTTTGAACGAATATGCCTCCGAGTAGACATATGCAGAATTATCTGGCATGTCTGCTAACCATCACATATACTTATGACAAAGCTAAGCCTCACTGAGCACAACGGGACTTTAATCTGAATAAATATCTTTAGAACTTGGTCCTGGATGTATGTTTAACATGCTTGTATCCCAAAATAATTTTGGTTACCTTTTTTTTAAACAAAACTGTTTAATACCTCAATTTTAAATTTCAGATTTCTTGGAAAATTCAGCTTTGCTCAAAGGTGATAATCAAGATGTTCTGTTTTCTATAGGCTCTGTTTATGAACTTTCAGGCAATGAGTGTTGCCTGTCAACAGGAGATCTGATGAAAATTATAGATGTTCAGCTTCAGGAGGTCATCTGTGAGAATGCGAAAAGTGGACATGCTTTTGTGCTTCCACCAGATTTTAAAGGTTGGTCCATTAAGTGCTGTTCCCTGCTTGCTCTAGCACAGTTATAAGGCAAATCCTCTGTAACCCAAAGATTACAGATTTAATCCTTGTTATCCCCAAAACCATGCAGCAAATAACAGTTGAATTCACACAACCACGCTATATAGTTCACTGTGTAAGCCACAGGGTTCACATAACATTGAACATTGAAAACAAACAAACCATATTGTGGTTTAGTTTGTAGTGTAAACCAAGTGAATGGGAAAGTTTTCTGCCAGAACTTTAGGGGACTAGTACCAGAAAAAGATTCACAGCTCCTGGCTGTGGGGGTAAGGAAAGAGTACCTATCAATTTTTATTATTGTTGGTTGCATGGTCAGCCAAACGTTTAGACTGGATTTGGCATCTTTATCCACCTATTGAGTCCTTCCCAAAGACCTGGGATAGGCAGATGTAGTTGTTTGATGGTGTTCAAGGTATCGTCGCAGGATATAAGCAGTTCAATGTAAAGCTGCCTTTTGCAATTGACTGATGGTGATTTTGTCAATGCCGATGGTCTTCGGGTATTTTGGGATTGGACCCAAGGCTCCTATTACTATTGGTATTATCTTTGCTGCTATTATTATTATTATTATTATTATTATTATTATTATTATTTCACCTTTGCTCCCAGGATGCACTATTTACAAGATTTTCTGGTTGAAGAGCCAAAATAGCCAACTTTGGTTACTATTGTACTTCACTTGGTAACATGCACCATATGTTCCCAGATTTTATTTATCTAAATGTGATTTTTTTTTTATGAATTCTAGTCTGTATTTAATGTTTTAGTGGAAACTCTGACCAAGCCACATTTCTTAATCACCTTTGGAATTACTTTTTACTGCTTTTGAAATATTAAGAACCTTTGGAACAGCAAGTTTTTATTGCATTCACTGGGTGAGTTTCCTTCTTCGCCAAAGAAGTTTTAAGTATGAGTTCAAGGATTTAGAAAAATATCTTTTTTTGGAATAAACAGCAAAAGGATGTTTAGAGTATTGATTCTGGAAACTTAAAAATGGACCCTTCCTTCCTTCCTTCCTTCCTTCCTTCCTTCCTTC